TGAGGGTAAATGGGAAACCTGCCAAACTCAGTTGCCCACAGCGAATCCACCGAATTCTGACCTCGTCCCTGATGTGGCCCATGTTGAGTCAAGGTTCCCAAAGGTGAACCTTGCCTTTCTGAGTCAAACGGCAGCTGACTTTGGGTTTTCCATAATCCAGTCAAGGTCCCGAAAAGTGACCACCTTGTAACTTCCAAGTGCGACAAGGGCAAGTGAGTTGAAGAGCACGCAACATGTCCAAAGAGGAGGTTTGGCACCTTGAACAATTCATGAAATTCCGGATTTCCTTGTCTTGCTCTTGACACCGGCCTGAAACGGGCACCCGAAAAGAGCACACGCCAAAGTTGCCGAGCTGCTGGCCGAATGACAAGGCATTGCCAGTCAATAGCCCTGAGAAATTCAAGTTCTTCGGTAGATCCAGGACTTGCACCGCCAACAGCGATGGCAACTCAACAGGAAGCTGAGCGAACATGAAACGCCAGAGGTTTGTTGCTGGAAGTAGCTTGGTGTTGTTCAAAGGTTTCACCTGGTGCATGAGAGGAGATGCTGGCGGCAGTCGCATTCAAGACGTTCAAACATAGACACTAATGCGGTTAAATCCTGCGCCACCCAAGAAACCCTGGAAGGATGTTTCCCCTGTAAATGCCAACAAACCCATGGTTCCCATGGTTTCTTAGGTGCAGGATTTTGTCCACCCACCATGAGGGGCGTGTCTTGCAAAGCAAGTGCAACTTGCACTCGGCCGCTTGCAGCGATGCTCTGGCCTCATGATAGTTGAGTTGGGAGCTTTCAAGGCTGGCTTTGAACATGTCAAGCTGCAATGAGCCCCTGGGACACGGTGCGCCATTGGTTCAGCGATGCACTTGACACTTTTTGAGACTTGGTGCAGCACGTTGCTGTGGCGGAACAAAGTGTCAGAACGCGGTGGTGCAGCTGTTTGTGTGTGGGTGTGTTTTGGTGGGTCCATTGTTGAGGGACCCCCCTTTGAATTGGGCGTAAGGGGAAACAAAAAGTCACCTGCACGTGGTGTTGCAAAGTTTTGAGACCTGCTCTCGCATCCTCACCCCGTTAAAAGTTGGATTGGGGGAGGGGTGACCCTTGGAAATTCAGTACTTAGTGGAGACTCCCCACCCCTCTCCCCCTGCTCTCGCACACCAAGGATTGAGAATCGCGCTTGGAGGCGGGTCGACTGCTTTGCCGGGTTGGGTTTATTGCCACCGCAGTGTCGGTGGCTTCAGTGACGGAGGAATTTGAACGAGATCCAAGAAGAATCCGAATGGGTTTGTTTAACACCCCTAACTCAACCGTGAAACCCGTTTTGATTTCCCTTTAAGACCAATCCGAAGAACAGTCACCACATCGTGAGACCTGTGGCAGGATTCCCGTGGGTTGGTACGCCATCCACGCTGGAGCCCAGCAGATCAACGACGAACGAGCCGCCCGAGTTCGAGAAGTATGGCCTGACGCACCGCCCGAGGAGACGCTTCCTCACAGCGCCATACTCGGCAACTCGGTTTTTACGCTCGTGTTGAAGAAAGCGAGAGGTTACCAACACTTTGATCAGGCTTCACTCTATATGCATGAATTCACTCTAGCATGAAGTATACATATACTATGAGCGAATATGAGCATCTATATGTGTATAAGTTGTTTGTTTGCATATATATATATATATGTACACATACACATACACATAAATGTACATATATAATATACGTATGAATGCCCCCCTGCGTCCCCGAAGGGGTGATGTTTAAGAGGGGAATAGGGAGTGCTGTGGGCCCCAAACTTCTGCCTTGCGCTGCGAGGCCTATTTTACGTCCATGGCCACGTGACGCCCCAGGCGCGGAATACGGATCCAGAGGGTACGGAGCAATGGGCAAGGACTAGGTGTGCCTTAAGCCCTACATCTAACCCTGGCAACCATTTCATGTTGGCAACTGGGGCGTTGGGATTGGGCGGATATATTGACAACACAGGGGCCATGTCATGTTCGGCGCTATTTTGAACGGGGCAGCTTGCGTACTTGGAGATCGAACAGGTTTTTTGAGGGTGTGTTTAAAGTGTTTTCGTTGTTTCTAAGGGTACCTTCCCCATTCTTTCCAGGGATCCTTCCTTCTAGAAACCTCCAGAAACCAGGGAAAACGGATCCGGTTTTTGAAAAGAACGATGGTGAACAAGAATGGACGAGGAATCAACCCCTGGAGAATTGACAAATTCCATAGATTTTTTTTGTGAAAACAACCCTGGCGGTTTGAAAGTGAATCTATCACCACTGGAATCTATCAACCCCTAGATTGTTCTCTGGATTTTGGGGTGGTCTTGTACCTTTTGGAAATGCTCCAGCTTGGCGTTCCTGGCGAGGGCGACCTGTCTAGGTTTGGGGTTCTTGGCCGCGTTGGCTTGTTGGCTTGTGCTTCCGGTTGTTCTGGTTTCGGGGCCTTGTCACAAGCCCAAACCAAGCCTCCACCTTGAGCCTTGAGCCCGCCCAACCCGAAAACCCGAAGCCAACCCCAAACCTTGGGCGAGTAACGCCAAAGCATCGGAAACCCATAGCGAAAATACTTAGAGAGCCCCTATGGTAGCGAGGCTACCACCAATTCACGTGACGTTCGGGGTGCGAGTTTGGACCACTTGGCTTTTTTCAGGGACCGGGTCACGAAGGTGAGGTTGTGAAAAGGCTGGCAGGGGAGTCCTCCAGTGGACCTGGCGGGCCATGCTCCCCTTTTCAACTGCAGAGCTGGCTAGGAGTGTCGACCCTACATTTGGGCCCGCGGCCCGCAGCTGAACAGCATTTAGAGGCTCCAGGGAATCAAATTTAGAAACCGGCAGGTTGCATTGCGACTTGACCATGTTTTTGTTTCACTAGAGGATCCGAGTTGGACCTCAAGGTTAGGTTTTGGGCACGCTAAGGATTTGCCACGTGATCTCGAAGGCTGTTGAGCTGTCTCGACCAGTACACTGTCGTGGCGGCAAGGCCCTCTGGGACCTTGAGGCCCGAGATCGATGATCCGCTCACCGCCCGCTTTGGCACAAGCCGCCCGTTATCTCATGCCCTTGGGATCGCAAGCCCAGCCATCCGGTTCAACTTCGCTTTTTAGATCCTTTTGGTGTTTAATGGTGGCTTCCGAATTTAACCCACTAAAAGTTAGGCTTTTAGCATGGGGATCTGAGGGCAGCCCAGATGCCTGGCTGTGATAAAAGGCGCCGGCGTTTGAAGGCCCGGCCTTTTGTCGGTTTGGGACCTCAAGTGGAAAGTGTTTAGGAAAATGTGTGAGTGTCATGCCTGTCCCGGTGGCCTGCTGGCTCCGGAATCGGCAAATCACCTTACCACGTTGCCTGCGGTTTGCCCTGTGCTCCATGACTTCATGCTTGGGGGCGCTGTGTGAGGAAGTCTTTGGCCACATGTTCAGAACCATAGAAAATGCAGGTCTGACTTTGAAGGGAGTAAGCCGTCGCTGCAGCAACATGCAGCAAACCCTGCCTGCAAGTTCAACACATTGACCTGTGAATATGATTTTGGGATTGGACCAGTGCAACTGGCTGATGGCATACCTCTACATACCTCTGCAAATTATTGAGATGCTTCCATTTTTTTTTCACAACCCTGGTTGGCTTTAAAGGGAATCGATTTCACTACTGGAAATATTGTATTTTTTCCAGGGGTCAAACCGCAAATGGAAAGCTTTGTCTCTCACAATCAGGGAACCCCCAAAATTAGGGGGTCTCTTTTGAGGTGACCCAGCAAAACGGATTTCGGGTTTCCTCTTGGAAGCAAATAGAATGGAGGCAGAGGAATGGTGCCTTCAGACAGCAAACCGGGACCTTCCTGCGAGGTGCCATGTTTGTGGATGGAAATTGGGTGTGGTTCCCTGGTCCCTTTTTTTGGAACTGAAACTTTTGGGTTGGATGCCGAGTTTCCGAACCCGACGGATCCTTCCCATGGAATTCTTCGCAGGTTTGGCAGCTGCAGCAGATCCACCAACAGCTCGCGGAAGTGTCGGTGCGACATCATGACCTCTCGGAGGCAGGTGCCGGTGATGCGCTTTTTGTTTTGTTTGCGCACTTTTCGGGCTGGTGTTGTCTTCCACCTTCCCCAGTCCCCTTTGTTTTCCACTAACCAGGCATCTATACATATATATACATATATATATATATATTGCTGGGGTCCTAGTTCCAGCCAAGCCACGTGGAATCTGGGAGAGATATAACAATCCAAGGTTTATTCATACCATTTGGAGAGATGCAAGCGTGATGATGTAGAAATGGGGACATGACGTAGAGCCAGTCGGATTTGGAGAATAGACAAGAACATGTATGTAAAGCTTATCTGAGCAAGCTTATAAACTTACACGTGCATATACAAGACATACTATCGTTTTGGAACACTCAGCTGGCGAAGAAGCGTGTTTTGATTGTTTAGTGTTTTTTGGTCGGATCTTTGCATGGAATGGACGTTCACACGGAATCCATGGATGCAGCAGCATCCATTTAAGATCGTAAGTGCTACAGCGCGTATTTGTTTCCTGCTGTCTTAGAGGGACCGCCCACTGCCCATCAAACATGGCTCCTCAGTTGCTTTCAACTTGGCCTGAACCTCAATCTCATTCATGCCACACACTAGCTTTGGGGCACAATGTCACATATCCCGCCGTTTCCCCTTGAGAAACATCTTGACATACGGCCCAAATCCTGCGTTGCTAAAGCTAAGCATCGTATTGGCTGACTGGTACTGGGCCAAGTCACTTGTCCCATGACTTTGTTGCCAAGGTGCTGGCAGATGTGCTGGCAGATTGAAGTCGTCTGAGCCAGTCAGCTGCGTTAGTCGATTACTTCAAGCATGCAAATGAAAAGGTGCTTGACCCATGCGCAGGGCCTGCAGTGCATGGTGCATTGGAATCAAGCTACAATTACCTCTGCTCCATCAGTTTGAGATTGCAATCGCATCTCTCGGGCCCCGTGGGGTCGACGCTTGGGCGGATCCCCACTGCACTTTTCAGGTGCTGCCTCGATCGCGTGCGAGACGAGCAAGTCGGAGAGGCACCGATCTTCGGACATGTCAGACATGATCACATTCTGGCGCTTGGGTCGGAAGTCTTCTGATGGAGCTTCGCGAGCGGTCCGCACGCCGGCTCTTTGACGCAGGCCTGCTGAGGCCTTGCCTGGGAAGCAGGATCCGAAGCCAGCGTGTCAGCAGCAATGGAGTCTGCGCACTGGTAGTCTCCAGACTCACTCCTCGAGTTCATGGACTTCAGTCACTTTTTGGGTTTGGACCATTTGGTGGGGGAACAAGGGGGGGTTTGGACCATTTGGTGGGGGAACAAGGGGTTTTGCCGCCCATTTTGGTGGTAAACAAGGGGTGCCGCTAAGAATCCCGGCAACGCCTGCACGAAGGCGCTCGTGTCAATGGCCGCTTACATGGTCTGTGCTCTCTCAGCTGTTCCGGTCTTAAATGTCAGCTGAAAGCCGTCCTTGCCATGGACGGCTTCGAATGGCGCGAGTCCAGTCGCCTGACACATCCGTCCAGACGAACATGGATCGCAGCTGGGCTGTGCATCGCGCTACTCGGGATGATGATGACACTTGTCTTCTGGGATTCCCATGACAAAGTTCCGAGAAGCGGACACAACCGCTTTGAGGCCAAGTACGAGGAACACGGGAAGTCACTGCGGGACTGCACGGCATACCTGCTGAAGGATCCTCATTGCCGGCAGCCCTGGGCCCTCTGCATCGCTTTTGCCGTTGCGGTTCTGTTTCTGCTGGTGTTGCTGGAGTTGTTCTGCTTTTGCGGCAGGGGGCACACTGCACAGAGTCCGGGGTGCTGCTGCGGCAGGGGTGGGCCCACACAGAGTCCTGCTTATCAGCTGCTGAAGGGCCGTGAAGAGTTGCAAAGCCTCCTGGAGAAGCACACGATCAGCTACAATGACTACAAGTGGCAAAATGGGGATCCTCAGGAAGACATCGAGAAGAAGATGATGAAGGCATGGAATGCGGCGGACAGAGAAGACAACTTGGTGATATTGGAGGAGGTGGCACGCATTATGAAGGTTTACCCGAGCCTCAGCCTGCACCTCAAGGGGATTTCAAGTGGCAAGGGCCAGAATAATCACGTGACAGAGTCGGCCTTCAGCAAAGACTTCGCGTCACACTTTCCACAAGAAGGGATGGACAAACGAGAGCCGTATGCTCATGGCCGCACTCTTAGCATCAAGCGTTTGCTTGGCAGGCAAGGCGTGCCATACAGTCGCATGACAACAAGTATTGAAATCGGCCCTCGCAGCCAAGTCATCTTGACCTTAGACTAGCTGCCATGCGTTTGTCTTGTCTATTTGTTATGTAGTACTTAGGAGTGGGATAACTTTGCAGCGTGCAAAGTTGCGTGATTTCAGCTTTGCAAGCATGAGTTGCCAGGCACGACTTGTTTAACTCCCTTCTCTTTATGTCGGGCAGGGAGCCTGTATTTCCACCTTGGGCACAAAGTCTGACCCAAGACCAAGATTTGGGCAGCTTTTCCGTTTCGCGTGGGACACTGCCGGCTTTGGCATGCCAAGCATGCCAAGCTCGCCACGCACACGTCTCCTTACTTGTCACAAAGCCTGACCGATAGCGTACGCAACAAATGCAGCACCGGGGAGCTTCAAGCTGCATGTAAGCGCCATGGGGCAAATTGTGACTTGTGACGATTGTTCTGACGATGCGGCTGTCAGATAGGCATGCGACTGGGAAAGGTTCAGCTTCTGGGCCTACGAGCTGACAGTATAAAATAGTGCGCCATGTGTTCGGAGTGACCCAACCCTCGGGCCTCATGACTTCGCAATCGCGACTAGGTGTCAAATCAAACGGCTGGCAGCCAAATGCTAGGAGCGCAGCTCGACGCCGGCCAACTGCTGAGCTAGATCGCTGAAGCATCAGTTCATTTCAGCAACCCTGGCCCGAAGCTTTGATTGGACAGAGCCCAAGATGTTTTGCTCATCCGCCCAAATGATATGATGACAGCTTGAACTTCTGACAAGTTCGCAGGCAGGCCAAAATCACCTGCACTCAGTGTGTGTCATGGAATTGCAAAGGCAGACAGTGGGCTGTTTGATGCTACCCTTTTCGGCTTGGTTCAACGAGAAATGAGAAGCACCACCACCATCTTTGGGGTTGACACATCGGTTGGTTCGAATATCGGGTCCTGAGGCTCCAACAGATGTGCCAGTCAGCCCAAGGCACGGATGATCAAGGTTCTTGACTTGAGGATCCGAAGAATCGCTCCAATGCCTGGTGCAGTTGCCCCTATGCCTGCAACTGCTGGAAGTAGTGTAATAGGAGATGAAATAACAGGACCAATACCTCAAGCAGCTCCCATACCTGGTGCAATACCTGCCCCTATACCTACCCCTATACCTGCCCCTATACCTGCTCCTATACCTACATGTGATTAATGTGTCCAGCATAAAAAACAATATAATCATTAGTTTCAATATTTAAATATTCATTGAAATTTAGCGAGCCACCACAATAGCGATTAGCATAATTCATTGTAATTGCATGTCCGTTCTTTCTCAAGATATACTCTGCTATACCATGAGTAAAGGGATATTACAATATTATTCTAAGGGATGAATGATATGAGTTTAGTAAAAACTCACTAAATGTAAAACGTGTAGGAAACACAATTATTGTTAATTTAATTGGAATTTATTTCAGTGTTAGGGAAACACTATATAATTTATTACAATCGAGGGATATTTGTAATTTATCACAAATCAGCTTTTGGAGTTATAGCGCAATTTGCAGGTTGTAGAAGTGTGCTGACATTGCTTCCACCTGGCTTTGCTACCCAGCTGAGACGAGCACGAAATTCAGCGTTTGGAGCCGCAAAAAGTTGAAGAGAAGTTGATTCCATCTCTTGGAGTTTCTGGTGCTCGAGCCCTGGGCAAAGCAGACAAGGGATGACCAGGGTGTTACTTTTTGACTACCCCAAGATAGAATTAAAATCAGGGGTTCTCCTTTTGCGGGGAATGAACCACCACCGGTAGTCGGTCTACCCTGGGGTAGTCACAAGTAGAACCCTGAAGCAGACAATGTATGACATGTTTCTTGTGCGCGCAGGCCGGAACCGGAAAACAATGGCACGCTGCCTCATTCCGAGGCGCGGGTGGTTGGTCAGGATTGACATGGACGCCCGTTGTAGAACTTTGCCCATTTTCTGCGCCGCCTGTCATGGACGAATTGAAGCTTCCATTTGCTTAAGTTGTTTTCTTTGTTTCCCCTTGTTGGTTTTAAAAGGACTTTATCACTGGAAATATGTTTTTTCTTTTTTGCAGGGGTCTTAACCAAATGGAAGCAAGCACTCGCATTGCATGTTTGCGGCAATGCTTTGTTAAATCGAGATTTCCTTGTCTTCCTGGAGGCCTGCGTGCGGCGTAAAGTAGCGGCGCGAGTTTGCTGTGGGCTCAACTGATCCTTTGGGAATTTGACCAGTGCTTTTCAGTTCGCATGACGCTGCCCTCAAATGGAACACGGGCGTGCTGAAGTTAAAAAGACCATTCGGTCCCGTTTCATCCCTTCTTTGGGCCCAATGTGAGTTTTGTTTACATGCGGTGATGCTTCAGGCAGAACATAGGTAGGGGACCCTGTTGTTTAAGAAAACTGTGTTGCATGTTGAAATTCGGTTGACCCAAACCCGCAGGTGCCGCAAGTCACAGACGCAGAGCTCGGGCCCCATGCGAGACTAGCCTGGCGAGTCATGAAAAGAGCAAGGAGCAGGAGGAAAAGGTAGACGGGATCAAATGTGGTGCCTGTTTGAACCGGAAAAGTTGCCGACGGCTCATTCCAGAGGTGTGACGCTGGAGACATTCCTGATGATGCCGCTCGCCCACCGGAGCTTTCCTTCGCGCGGGGAGCATCGTGTTTTGCGAATAGTGGGTCCTTTTTTTTAGGGGGGCGCCCCATTTTTTTTAATGTTTTTTTTTAATGGGCGCCCCCCAAAATGCGTCGTTGTCCTTTTTGGTGTCCCCTTGAAAACTTCCACCAACAACAGGTAGCTCGAAAAAGACCGAGCCATGTCCAAGGAAGCATCGCATCCCATTCCTCGAGTGCCCGGCGCCTTAGTCGGTGCTTGGATTGGTGGCGTGGGGAGGTGCCCCGAAACACGTCTAAACCACCAAACCTTTTACCACCAATTATCACAGGATCTCAGAATTTGGATCTTAGAATTTGGGGGGGGAGCTTTGGGGGGGGAAGCATCCTTTGATTTGGGGAGAAAATAAAGTTTAATATTTAAGCAGCAGGAATGTTGAGGCGGGGCGATTGACATGTGCCCCCAATATTCCCCAATGATAGACACTTCGCTTTGCAGATTCCCTCGCACAATTGAGCGACGTTCTAAAACCGCTGCTTTTGAAAGCAGAATTCGCGAGAACGTACAGCTTTCAAGACATGTTTTTTTTTTGTTTTTTCTCTTTCGGCTGGGAAAGGCCAGGAAAGGGTTCGCGAAAGGGGTTTATCGTATATACCTGCTCGCGAACACTTTTGCCCGTGTTTGCGACGAGTCTGCGAAAGCGCAAACGAACTTCAACCCCGTTTCTGAATCCGTTTTTCGCGACGTGAATGCAATTGCCTCATCAAGACCTCTCGCGAAAGGAACCTCTGTCGCGACAGCTCCGCTAAACCCAGCCGCCGCTGGGTTTACAACACCGCTTCATTGTGAGCAATTGCCCAGGAAAGCGTGGCCAACATGAAGGAAGACAATTGACACATTCTGGCTCGGGTTGCAAGATGCAACGGGGACGTCACTCCTTGTCGACCAGTCTAATGATTTAAGTCGTCCGGTTTGACTCTGCGAACTGTCACCGGTAGACGAATTGGGGCGCATCTAAGATGGACGCGCATAGTTCGGACAATTTGTGAAATCGGGCACCACACCACACTTCCGGGGTTGGACTTTAGTCACTTTTGGGAAGAAACCCACGTCAGACTTTGGGAAGACACCGTGAAAATTGTGCACTCTTGCTAGTTCCCTTCAATGTGGCCATGTCCTATGTGAACCCATCCGAGGTCCAACTCTGGCCTGGCGCGCGAGGTGCAAACAGAGGCGAGTCACGCAGTTCAGCGATGCACGCGTATAGCGATGCACGAAGTTTGGTGCAAGCCATGCCTGGGTTTGCTGTTAGAACACATAGGTGTCCTGTTTGGTTGGTTTGCTTTAAAATAATAGAGGGCCCTGGATTAGAAGGGGTTTATTCCATTTACCAGGGCCATCTAGATTTCCAAAAGGCCACCTATGTTACAACATGGTTGGTTGACTTGAGCAGGGCACCATTGGTGGTTCCCAGCCATCCGGTTCCTTAGGTTTTTGTGTGTGTGTGTGTTTAGTTGACTCAAGTTCGTCACGTTGAGCAAATCAGAAACGGACAGGCAAGCATCATCATGTTTGCAGCGTACATCGTGGACACCTAGGGGTTTAGGGCATGGGGGGGCGGGGACTTCCCAGGATAAGCCAAAGAAAAGCTTCTAATAAGGCCTTAATTAATGGGTTGATAAGGGAGTTGCGCCCCGCTCCCCGGTTCCCCCCCTTGAGGGTCCATGAATATAGATTATCATGCTTCAACCTTTGAGCTGGATGGAAAAACTGAGATCGGATTGGACTTTCCGATTTCGGCACGGCGAGTTGCGGACACTGGATTCACTTCATTCTTTTGGTTCCACTCCGAACTCCGAGGCTCGTGTCAAAGTCCCTCGCCGTGAGCTCGGGTTGAAGGACCTGCTTCCCTTTTTTTTTCCCGAAAGCCGATGAGCTGGTACCACCATATTTTTTGTACAAGCCGTGGCTGGCAACGTGAAACGGGAAACAGGAAGCGCCGGGGATTAGGACTTGTCGGCTTTTAATCTTTGCTTCAATGCTGAGGCAAGAGGAGGCCGGTTCCTTGCCTGTGCGCTTCTATACGCACGCGTGACTGAGCTGGCAAGTAGGAGTGCCGGCAAGGAGCTCGCAAGAAAGCGAGGCTGAGTGACCCCGCATGTACAGATCATCTATGGATTGTTTCGAAACCGATACGAGGGAAGAGAGAGATCGAGATGCTGACAGCATGAGATCCTCAGGGTGCAAGTGGATTGCAGCATGATGCATGATACAGTTGAGCATGCGCCATTTAACTTCCACATCATGTATGTGCACAAACGCTTAGCGACAGCTTCGCAACAGATCAACAGAGCATGTCGGGAAAGCCAACAACACGAAGTGTTTGAGCATCAGTGGTAAACTGAAGTTCACTTAAGTGCTTACAGATCCTGCCAGGTGAAATGTCACTGTATCAACTATATCATATCCTTCATGTGGGCGGTGATGGCGTCGACCACAATCAAATCAATCATTGACATGGCAAGCTCCAGCCGCGTCTTCCGGGTTCGAAAATTGGTCTGGCAATGTTGTTTAGCAGTTTGGCACGCCATGGATGGAATCAGGGGATGCAGGATGCCCCAGTTGCCCAGTGGCGCCCTTTTTTCTATTTGTTTGGGGGAAGGTTCCCCCTTTAAAGTCAACAAACCAAAAACGGATGCCGATCCTTTTTCCTCATGGAAATCCACTGGGCATCTGAGAAACGGACGCTTCTCCGGCTTGGCTGTGATGCCATGGCTTCGAACTGCGATCCACGAGATCAGCATGGGAAATGGGAGCATTTGCCGCCTGCCGCCCTGCACTTAGCACCTGACTGAAGCAGCAAGTTGCGTTGCCATAACAAGTCCTGCTTAGGCTAGAAATCGATGGGTTCCACTGGATCAGACTGGATGTGTTCCACTGGATCAGATTAGATGGGTTTTACTGGATCAGATTGGATGGGTTCCACTGGATCAGATTGGTTTGCCCCATGTTCAAGGGCCATGGGCCATGGACTTGCCCATCAGGTCAGCCACGGGCCTTGCCATCGTTTTTCTATCCCCCCGTTCTTTGGATCGAAGTTGTACGCCTTTGGGACTTCCACGCAGTTTCCGAGAATGGCGAAAGTTGCGAACCGCCCTTCGCCTGAGGCGATTCCCGTCATCTCCCGCTCCAACGTCGAGTCCGAGGGCATCTTGGAGCGGCGAGAGCGGCTGAACGCCGAAGCTGCCCGACGAGAGGTCGCGAAACTGCAGTTTTTGCCAGTCATGGCATCCCCCCCCCGGCGTCGCACTTTGCTCGCAAGTCACGTTCCATTGGGCACGTTACTTGTTGTCAAATGAGATGAGCAGGTTCCGAACGCTTGCGCCACGGGACGCACATCTGCATTTTTCGTGGAACCCGTTTAGAATTCCATCAACAGGTCACCCAGACGCTAGTTTTCTTTGCTTGCGAGGTGCTGAGAGAGCGCCGCAGGGCTCAGCAGGTCCAAGATGTGCTGGCCGACCGGCTCCATCAGCGGCCCTTGGCGCAAGTTTCCGCTTCTTCGCAACCAGTGCCGGCATGGATGCAGAAGGACTGGCCGAGAAAAGCCTGTCAGAGTTTTTTTTTTTTTTTTAATCAACGCTCAAGCCAGCCTTTCAAATTCTCATGGCGCAGGTTGTCATGAGACCATGTTGTCGGCTCTTTTTGCAATCGTCATGCCATTTCTCCACGGGGTCCGACCTGCGGGCATGACATGTCTCTCTCCAGGATGCGGCCAGCAGCGGATCGGACGCCAGGCGGCCGAAAAAATGGTTCTGGCATTGGTTGGCCCATTGATCTGAATTGTTGTTTTTTTCCCATGTTTCCACTTTTGGCACAGGTCCCAAGAGCTTCATCGCTTTGTCCAAGTCCCTTGGGCCACCGAGTTTGCAAGGCATGTCCCTTGCGCAGAAAAAATCTGTGCGCCGAACCTCTCGGGTCGGCGCTTCTGGGGTCTCGGGTAGAGTCGTCGCAGGCCTGGCTGGGCCCGGCCAAAGCAGTCGATCCGCATGCCGCGGTCCCTGGAAGTGCTGCCTCCCAGCAGCATCCCGCAGTGGCCAGCTGGAAGCTCCAGCCGCACTTCGAGCCGCGCGCGCGGATGGGCCATGGGCGAAATTTACCACTAGCGGTGTAAAACTTGCCACTAGCGGCGTCAGACTTGTCTGCTCACTAGGGAATGATCCCTACAATCAACAGCATATGGTTTTCTTGAAGGGATCCCGCACTCATTGGATCGCGCCTGCCACTGGCCAAATTGGTCCAAAAAACAATAGCGAGGTAAAGCTTGCCGGTGCTCGGGGAGTCAGGGAATAGGGAATGACCCCGACAATCAATCCCGTATTGTGTCCGATCAGGGGATCCCCTTCCGGTTCATTCCCGAAACCCGGACTCCGTCATTCCCTACCTACTGAGCACCAGACTGTGGGCGTTGGGCAGTGGCTCTTGCATTTTCCAGGGGCACCGTTGATCTGAATTCAATGAACTCGTAAGCAGGTTTTGAGGTTCAATGCCATACACGCAATCATGAGGCGTGCGTTGCGCAAAAGAGGCAGTCCCAGAATCAACGGAAGTTTAGCTGCAGAACTCCTTTCAAACGAAAGGTTCAATCCGAGCTAGTTGACCGTATACCGAAAAAAACGCAGCTCTGCCGTGTTGTTCAGAGGCACTGCAGTTCCGTTGGGCAATAGGAAAGCCATGACACTACATTTTAGATCAGCAGCATTTACAAGTCACGGCGGATCAAAAATGACCAGTAAATAGAATGCGCATGGCAGTGAAACAAAGACCGCCGGGGATCGAAACAGCAGGTGCACATTGGCGCGAGAACGCGTTCAGAACCGCCCGCAACAGCAAACCGTCCTGCTGTAAGGAGGCCCATCGTCGAGCAACGCCTTCAACGACATGAAGTCCAGCGAGACGGCTGATGGCCAGGCTGAGGCCGCGGGGCCCTTACTTGGAGTGACTCAATCAGGGCTCCTTAAAAGATACAATTTGCCCATTTGAAACCTGGCTTTTTCAACACCAAAATAAAGGGAAACCACAATGGCCAGCTGTATAATGTAAGGATCCCTGTCAATAGTTGTGCGTGTGTATTTGTTTGAGGGCGCCCTTTTCAGAATGGCTTTAAAGCGAAAACAAAAAGAAAACCACCGTTTTGGGGTCCCCCCATTTTGACACACGCCCTGTAGTAGAACCCTGGAGATACCTTGAGCATTGTTCAATTTGAGAGGCGCGCTGTGTGAGTGTAGATCACAACTGATTTTGTTGTCAAGTTGGCGTTTCTGTGCTAAACGCATGTGTGCAACCAATCCGAGCATTCATGCTTACTGATGCTCTCATAAAGCAGTTTGAATGCAGCAGGGAATGAGGAAATTATCCTTATAAACTGTGGTTTCCTTTAAGGGGACCCCTAGGTTCATTCCCACATTCCTTATTGAGCGCCAGGTTTGGGAGTACGATCCTTGTGCCCAGGCGAAGGGCTATGCCGAGTCATCACCAGCGCCCGCAAGATCCAGGTCGTCGCCTTTCTCCACGTGGCAGGTGGCTGGAACTCCCACGTATGCCTTGTGCAGGGGTCCCTATATTGTGAGTGATGTTTTGAGGGGAAATATAGGGAGCCCTGTTGTAGATGCGGGTGATCTAGTGTATCCCAATTCTTCAAACGGCCCAAGGAGGAAGGCCTTTCTATATCAGAAAGGCTCTCCCTGCAGGTGTCGTCTTCATCGCGGGCACCAGCCAAGGCGTGGCTGAAAACGCTTCGCATTGATTTTTTGCGCAGTCACCACGGCTGCGACTAGTTGGGCCGACCCCCTATCCGGTTATCCGTACACATCTAGGAATCAACACGCCAACCCTTCCCTTTGCAGATCTTGATTTAAGGCGTAGGTGTTGAAGCTTAAGGCTTTCAAGAGGCCTCAGGTGTCGGTTTTCGGTCATTGCTGCTGGGCAAGTCCCACACAATCCATATAGGAAAAAAATACCAACAGTTCTTGGCGTGAAGTAATGCCCGCCCTTTCCAGCAATTTGGTAACAGATCCTTTGGGACAAATCCGAGAGGCTCGAAGAGTAAGAAGGCTATATCTTTATGGTGATTTGGTAACAGATCTTTGGAC